CGTAAAGCTTCCCCTTCAGACACATCATGCTACCACGCATGCGAGAAACATTCAAGCTTCCAGTGAGTTGCCATTCATTTGTTAAGATATTGTAAATCTCACAAGTTTGCAACACTGAGTTTCCTTCCCTATGCTTTCCTCCAGCGACGAAGATTTTGTCTTTGGTGGCTTCACCAAAAGCGTCACCCCTTTCTTCTAGCATGTCCGCGATTTCCTCCCATTTCTTAATCACAGTATCAAATCTCTCGGCTTTCGCGACATATTCTCTGGTTTCTGGCGGCTTTCCACCAAAAACATAAAGATACGTGCCGGAAGAAACAACACACGTTTGCTCTCTACAAGCTTCACTGGATGAATGAAGTGTCTCCCATGTGCAATGCTCTACATTGTAAATTTTGACAGTGGTTTGTTGCTCAGAAGTGTTAAGCTCGAGTGCATACATTTCTCCTTTAACTATAGCCACCCTGGAAACGTTTTCACGCAATTCCAAATCAGACCAGACATTAAAAACTGGATCATACCTCTCTACCCTGCCAACTCTAGGAAATCTAAACAACTTATCCCGGTATCTTGTCATCTGGGTGTGGCCTGTCGACCTTCCACCTGGTAATCGTTTCCACTGGTCCTTTTCGGGAAAATAACAGAAATTTTCATAACCCGCACACACTACAATGCTTTGTAGTTCGACTCCTTTTCTCGGCGTTTGGAGTACATCTCCTTCACTTGAGAAACCAGACATTTTTAAAGCCGTAGACGTCAACCTTAAACAAGCGAAGCTCTCTTGCACAAGTTCATTTGTCACGACATCTATTAAGTAGTCACGCGACATCAAAACTAGTCTGACGTGGCGAAACAACTTTTCGAAAAATGCTTTTCGCTCGCTCTTGCTGTGTTCAATCCACTCAAGTACGATCTTAAAAAACATCGGCTTCCGTTTTAACGGAAATATCGTCACTTGAAAGCCATTTCTCCACTTCTTTGGCTTCCAAACTAAGGAATTCATCCAGTGCTGCCACGAAACGGAAGTTCTCGAGGACGAATCTCCAGCTTTTGTTCATAAACTCGTCACAATCGTATTTCTCGGCGAAATAAACGTTGAAATGCAGTTGGAGTTGGACCACCATGTCAAATATATGGGTGTGGAGATCATGTGAGATGTAAAATATCTCAACAAATGAGTGACAGTATTTATTCCGCAAATATGCGAGTGTGATGTGTCTGAAGGGAAAGTTTATGTACTGCATGGGTAGCTTAGGTCACTCAAGGGGACGGAAATGAGTTCACAGTTGAACGCTAAGACCCTACAGAGGATGAATGGATTATAAAAGCAACCATATCCATGGAAAAAACCAACAGAGGCAATAAACATACATTTACTGGCTGTGAACTGAAGTTCTCCAAAAGAATAATGTACAAACTTGAAATTGATGAAAATTGAAAACTCTTCTAAACGCACAAAGTTGTCTTTGGTCAAAAAAAGAACTGTGTAAGTTCCCTCTAAACCCTGGATTAAAGCTAGACATTCAAAGAGGGTGTCCAAAACTTATGCAAGAGGAGAATGTGAAACAAATTTTTTACTCAGAACTGTTAACTATTGAATCACTACTGAACATTTGTGCTCAATTAAACGCCCGGGCGTATATCCTTAAAAATGCACATACTTCACTCTACAAGAGCATCGTCTCTCAGTTCTGTTACCTCTGAATGCAACTCTTTGAGAACGAAAACTCAGCCATAAGTGTGGGATGACAATAAAAGCAAAACCGAAGTTTTAGGCCCTCTGATACTGTAATTGGAAGTATTTATATAAAAACAGCTTCCATTAAAAAAAATTGCGCAGATATCCGTTCCGAGAAGAGATTGGGCGAGAAAAATCTTTAGGAAAAGCCTACTGTTAGCCGCGTGGGATGTTTACTTTTCAGTGCGTCCTGGTCCTTCCTTTAATTAAATTTTAAACGAACACTTTTATCGTAGTAGACGTAAGGTTTGGAAAATGAGGAATACCACACGGGGCATATTCTCGCATATCCTTAAGTTTTAGTTGGGGCGTATTCCATCAATCGAAAGCCCTCCTTGAAATATTATCCTCTTAGCTCGTTCAATGTATCTTCACTTATTCGAGATCGCAATATATAAATCTTTGGTTGGGGTCTATCAGAGGTTCCTTTTCGTAGAAAAATTTGAGGTTACAAGTTGTAGACGAATAATTTTGATTTCCTCTGTGTTGGAGGAACGGCAGGAAGCGTAGTCTTTTTCGCAACCGTTATTTGGTCTCATCACACAACGCGCTCTCTCCAAAACGGGAAATAGAAGGCATTGTGGCACCGATGCATTTCATTTTACTTAGAGGTATTTGGACAGCAGAGAAATTACGTATTTTTATGTCTTTTTTCTGCGGTTTTTATCGTTTTTAAAATTTATTCTTTTTTCGGTGACAAAAATGAAAACATTAAGTTTACAAACTGTCCTGCTTCAACCCACCCAACCAAAAAAATTAACTCTTGCATGCTACGCATGCCTATGTTCATTAAAGCTGATAACAAATTATTGAAAATGCTCTTCGTAATATATTTCGAGTTCTTATGAATACTAGTAGGTATTTGCACCAGCTGGTCATCCCGTTCCGTTTTGCAGTATTTGAACAGAAGTGACCAAAAATTGTTTTCAATTTTTATCGGTCCGACTCAGTTTCAATGTCGGAAATCTCGTTTGAATGACAAATCATTTTTTAAAATTAACATTCATTTATTAGCTCAGTTCTTGCACGTGGAAAGAGCTTACTAACTACGAGTCTTCCTCGACGACTCCGAGGCCAGGAAACATGTTATTTCAACCCTATTAGCTTGGATATTGCTTGCGACACTATTCTGTCAGTGTGTTCTTCGAGGATGTTGTTCACTTCTTCACGTTCGACGTCAAGGATTGATGGCCGTCAATTTGTCATTTTAAACTTTCTCAATGTGAGTAACAGACGTATAAATACATTTTTCTAAGAAATATCGTAGTCTTGTATCTGTTTGTCGCCCTTGAAAATCAAATTCAAGAGTTCACGGTTTAAGGAAGAGCGAGTTACACGCAGTAGAAATAAGTCAAATCCTCACAGGGAAACTTCCTTAATTTATAGGCTTAAATATGAACTGTAACGTGGTAGTCTTTTGTTTTAGTTATAGTTTGTTTCTCGTGTTTTTATTTTAATTTTTTTTTCTAGAGCACACCCGTCTTCAAATGGATCTGGAGAAAGTTGAACAGGTGAGGAGAAATATAAAGTACATGTATTTTCCTTGCTATGGTTTTGAGTTCTTACATTACCTAATTGTCTCGAAAGTAATGATGTGTTTACATTGGTTTTGCTTTTTCTGATCTTTCTTAATAGTACTATTTCTTTTCGCGAATCAGAGTACAGATTCGGGTGACTCTAACCAATCAGGAGCAACCAAGCGGTTCTCCGTCCTCTGCTTTCCCGCGCTCGGCGGTGCGGGTTACACTTTTGCCGTGCGAAGTACACTTAATTCGTTTGGTCTAGTCAGTGGTTTGTTTAGCTTTACAACGAGCCAAAGGATTCCTTTATCTTTATCCATAGACAAGTGTTAGTTTATTTATTCCATTATTCAACTTACCTGCGTAAATCTGTTTTAAAGACTATTATACAAGTAGTTAAGGGCTGGTCTAATCTAGAGGTGGTTTCGATTATTGAGCTCTTACAAACCTGTACATGTATTTTCCGAATTGAAAAAAGCTAGCGGACCACACGCCTTCGCTTCTGGTCCTCAGGATGTCAAACAACGCAACTTTCTAAGTTCCAAGGTGAGAGAATGGCGTGAATTCCCAAAAATAGTTGATAAGGAGGCTGCACATACATGAGGATTCTGATAAACAAAACCCCTTATGTTTGGCCGACCTAGGTGGTTTTACCAGACATGTTACTAAACTGCCAAATCAATTCAAGATTATTTCTGAAATCATTGAGGCAAGTCAAAGCCAATAAATTGTGTAAAGATTTTTTTGTTTAAGGTGGGAATGCGTCAACAACAAAACACACCACCTTGAAATGTCACAGACTTTATTTTCACCACTTACTCTCAAATTATAGTGTATTCACTCGACAATCTGTGAAGGATTTTCAAAAAATAGACACTTGCTTCTTGTTTGTAATGACTGTGAAACAAAAATACGCGTTCTTATGGATCTCTCTTTTGTCTAACGTACATAAATCGTTTACAAAAAAGCTGATTGTTATCACACTTTGCACAGTCTTCAGTCTATCAAGATTTAAAGTTCCTGTAAAGACATTGCCAGATTTCTATTGACTGAAAGTATTACTAATAGCTCCTTGGTATCTAAATGTTAATATAAGGAAGAAGTTTGTAACCATGGGCAATTGTCAACTGATATTCAACTGTGATAGTACCTTTGCGCATGCGCCCTTAATTTTGTGGAAGCCTTAAGTTATTGCTTGATTTGTTATTAACCCTTTACACCCCAGAATCAGTATGCATATTCTCCATACTTTCTTAAGGTTCTGAAAAGGAGAATGTGTTTAACAATCAAGTACTTCTTTAGTTGCTGATCATTTCCCTTATTCTCATGACCTAAATGTTTTATACAGGGTGTTCTTGCAAGAGGAAATTAGATGCCAGTCACTCTTAGGGGTTAAAGCGTTAATCTGTGTTCTACTTAACACGATTGTATTTTAAGGGCAGTGACGATGTGGTATTATTAAAAATCTACATGTTAGATTACGTTTTCCCTTTCGATAACAGTTGTAAAATCACCCATGGGGCATCTTAACACCGAGACGTGATGAATGCCCCTCTGTATGGCTGGAATTAAAATTGGCCCTTGCCTATTTTCTCTCTAATCTATAGAGTAAATACTGTGGAGATCTGACTCGTCAAAGCGACTGAAATTTAGAGCTCCCCAAGACATCAAGTGAAAGGAATTTCATGTCTTAGCAAACTTAATTTACGCATCCTCTGCCTACTCAAATACAATCGCGAACTTTAATTGAATGAAGAGAACGAAAAGGAGGACTGCTGAGCACCAAAAGTACTCCCAGTACCAAATGCTGTTTGGGACTGCCAAGTACCGAAAGGGCCAAGGCCAAGGTCAAGGTTAGCCTTGTCCATTACTCCTTTGGAGAGCTTAACTACACAGGAAGTGAATGAGACCTTATTATCTTTAGAGAATCTCTCCACTGGTATGGTTGTCTTCTCAATCCACTCGTCTTTTGTCAAGTCGTAGCTTTCGACTGCCAACAAACTATCTCTGGTGCTTTTCGAGCCACCCAATACGTACAGTGTTCCCTTCAGACACACCATGCTACCATAAAAACGAAAATGGTTCAAGCTTCCGATGTACTGCCATTCGTTTGTGGATACGTTGTACATCTCGCATCTTTTTGACACTTTCCTATCCTGGTTCAAGCCTCCAGCAACAAAAATCTTTCCTTCAGTAGCCTCGCCGAAGGCACCAAATCTTCCTTGCTGCATGTCCGCGATCTCCTCCCATTGGTTTACCACAGTGCTGAATCTCTCAGCTTTAGAGACATAACCAGCATTGATAGGGGCCGATCCACCCAAAACATATAGGTAGCTGCCACCTGCGATAACACAGGAACCGTTCCTACAACCTTGGGAAGATTCCACAACTGTTTGCCATGTGCAACGCTCCACATCATATTTCTTGATAGTAGACTTCCCAACGGGCTTGTCAACTTCAATAGAGTACATATCCCCTTTGACAACAGTCACAATGGCGCTATCTGCTGATACGTCTATCAGATCCGACTTTGACCAGCCATTAAACACGCAATCATACTTCTCTGCCTTGCTGAACTCCTTAAATGTGTACAGCTGATCACGAAATGTAAGCATTTGTGTTTTCTGGTTTCTCTCGGTTGACCCATTTGGCAGCCGCTTCCACTGGTCTTCTTCAGGGAGATAACAAAAAGTGAACTCGCCACCACATGCTAAAATAACACGCGTTTCCAGACCTTTCCTTGGTGACCGTGGGAGATCTTCTTCACTCGCAAAAGTAGCCATCTTTACAGTAGCATCCATGACCAGCTTCACACAAGCGAAATTCTCACGCACCAGTTCGTTTGTCACGACATCCTCCAAACAGTCACGCGACAGAAAACTCAGTCTAACGTGACGAAACAGTTCCTCAAATGCTACTTTTCGCTCGCTCTTGCTGTGTTCAACCCATTTAAGTATAATCTTGTAGACGTCGGCTTCCGCTTCCACAGCAATCTCGTCACTTGAAATCCACACCGCCACCTCCTTGGCTTCCAAGCTCAAAAACTCATCCATTTCTCCGACGGATGCAAAATTTTGATGGATGAATTCCCTGCTGTCACGGATAAGTTCGACACAGTCGTATTTCTCAGCGAAGTAAAACGTTGAAATGCAGTTGGAGTCGGTCATTTCGGCCTCCAGAAATCGCCCTGAAACAGTTTTCAAGCTCAGTATCATCAGATAGTTTCCTGCGGCGATCAGTTCCTTAGCATTCTCCTGAGTCACTTCCACAGTTCCAGTGTAGATGAATTCCAAAACATCTTCCATAACACATCCCGAGATCTCTTCAA